TCTTTCTCGTACGCAAGAAATGAGCGAGCACTTCGACGCGGCGGCTTATCAGCTGATGCCTGAGTCGAGGGTGCTAGTAGGTAGTAGCAAGTAGGTTGGCCTCACGCCTAGATAGGGCCGGCGGGTGGTGCTGCTGAGCTGCTGCTACTCGAGCTGCTCCAGGGCCTCCAGCTGCGCGTGTGGTGTGTGGAGGGGGATGGTCGAATTTTGGCAATTCTGCTTGCCTTATAAGACCGTAGTTATAAGCGTGCGCCTAGTGTCCCTACGCGCGTGTCGCGTGTGCCGTGTCCCGACACCACCGAGCACCGACATGCCGCGACGGCAAAAATAATGGCTCATGCCCGAACCGCTCTCGCGTGCAGCTCGATATCCTCCGCGTAGCGCGTTCGGATGAGTCGTCGGTTCCGCGCGTTGAGCTGCTCTGCCGTGAGGCGGCATCGCGAACCGACATTCCGAGTGTGCGGGAGGGGGCGCGAGGTGCGGAGTAGCCGCGGCACCGCCTCTGCGAGCGCTTCGAAGGGCAGCACGTGGTCGCAGAGCACGGCGGCGTTGACCTCGTCGTGTATGAACCGGTGCTGAGCGACAAAGTGACAATCGTCGACGCTGCGCCCCGAGAGCAGCGGCTCAAGGTATGCATTCATGTCGGAAGCGTTGCAGCCAAACGAGCGCCAGTGCGCCGTGCGCCACTTGTACTCTGAAACGAATCGGTCGTATGGGTTAGGTGAAACGTCTAAAGGACGAAGATGCACGGAGGTGCGACCAACTCAGCACGACGGGCGGAGAAGACGGGCACTAGACCAGGAAGGACTGGGAGAGTGTGAATGGAGGGACACGTGTGGTTCAGACGCACCCCACCTCGCGGGCCGATCTTCTGGCCCAGCGAGGTTGCTGCACTTGGAGCACTTGGAGGGAGTGCAGTCATTAACCGCACATCCAGGGCCGGGGAGCTAAGAAGCGCAGCGGAGCTCTTCTTTTTTTTGAGTGAGATGTCCTGTCTCTTGTCTTCTTTGTTTTGTCCCTTTGGTTCAGGTGTATTGTTGGCAAGTCAGGACACAGACTGCGAGAACCGCGGCATTTTTTCGACCCTCTCGCGAAGCTTCCATCGACCGCTGCACGCCCGCAGATGTCCTCGCTGCTGCTCGCAAGCAGCGCGCTGCTGGCGTCGTCGGCCGCACTGGTCGTACCCGCCGCTGCGCCCGCGATTCACCACAGCAGCGCCCTGCTTTCAAAACACACGGCCCGGTCTTCCGGCGCGTTTGCTCCAGTCATGCGTCTCAAGGACGGCAAGGACGCTGGGGAGGGAGAGGGCGGCGGAGTCACGATGCAGAAGATCAAGGACGCAGGTTCGCCTCCTGCTCAACCGAACCAACCCAGTCCACTCTCGCCACCCACTCACCCAATCCACTCGCCACGCACTCAGCCGAACCAATCCGCCCCACCCGCTCGCAAAGAGTGGGGGGCAGTGTTGCTCGCGCCCGAAGTTGCCCCACCGCCTCGCGAACAATAGAGAATAGCGCACGAATGGTGCTGCTGCGCCCGCTCGGGCAGTCGGCCGGAGTGAGGAAAGAGCCGCCGCGCCTATGCAGGTGTGGCGGGCATCATCTCGTACGTGTTCTGGGAGTGGGCGTTCTGGGGCGTGTCGGTGCCGGTCTGCGTGCTGGGCTACCGCGAGGTGACGGGCCACTGGCCGGATCTTACCAACTCGGAGGACCAGGTGTGCCGCGCTCGCCCTCACTTTTGCTGCCCCGAGCCGCAGACTCACTTACTGGCGCCGGTGTTTTCGCCCCAGGCAAAGCTCGGCGCCGAGGCCTTTGCGTTTGTCAACGTCGCTCGCTTCGCGATCCCACTGCGCATCGGCCTCGCCCTCGGCACCACGCCGTGGGTGCAGGCGAACATCGTCGACAAGTTTCAAAAGGAGGACGAGTAGGGGGCGGCATACGGACGCTGGGACGATTGGCATGTGGAGTACACTCGAGGCCGCGGGCGGGGGGCGTCGCACCGCGCGCCTGTGCGCGCGAGCAATATTGTACGGGGGAGTTGGTTGGTTGTGCCTGATGTCGCCGCGGTGGCTAGTGCGGCGACGCGGGCGTGAGATACTCTCATCTTCGATTGTGATCTCGGCGAGCTCGGCGGGGGAGGCCGGGCGAAGGGCGCTTCAGCGCTCCACGACGCTTGACAGGAAAAACGGCAGACGCGCGGAGTTCAGTCTCAGAGGCCCGGTCGGCGTCCGCGGGCCGTAGGGGCGCTCGAGGGGAGGCGGAAGCGCGCGCGCGGCGCGGCGGGCCGGCGGCGCGGCGCGCCCCAGCGGGGGCGGGCGCGGGAGGGGGCTCGAGGGAGGGGGACGCTCTCTCTAGTATACGGCACTAACTAACAACGAGAGCCATCAGACACGGTGTCACATCGCGAGGCTAGCTCCTGCGGCCGACCTCTTGGGACTAACTGCACAGCAAACGCGGCGCCCAACCACAATGCACAAAACGCACCGCAGTGCACCGACACGTGCGATCATCTAAAGCGCATCGGCCTGGTCCGGGGCGGGCTCTGCCTGATGCGCCGATCTAGTCGATCACTGCCGCCATGACGGAGTCGTTGGAGCGGCGCTCCTCGCGCACGCCCTTCTTGCCCGGCCACGATGCAGTCGAGGACACGACCTGGCGGGAGGGTGAGACCCGAGCTGCGCCCAGCCGCTCGCTTGCGCTCTGCCGCCCGCGCTCTTGGTCGAGCTCGTTGGTGCCATCCTCGTCAAATATCGTCGTGACAAAGGCCTCCTCGCCCGAATTGTTGGAGCAGAGCATGACAGGCGTCAAGCATGCCCGCTTATGCTGCGGCGGCAGGAGCGCGAACTTATAGGTTGCCGACCCTTCTTCTGCGAGGCCCCACAGGGTGAAGTCCGTGGAGCCCGACATGTCGGGACGACACCTAGAGGTCCAGGCCTTGAGGTCAATGATTGGAAGCCACAGAGAGCGCTTCGTCGTTTTAGAATTTTACAAGTAGGGGGAGGGCGCCCAGGGCTTCGAGGTTTTTCAGCTGTTTATCGTGCGCTGCTCACTCACTATACACTGAGTGGAGAGAGAGTACACCACACACACAAACACTACTCCCCAACACGCGGCTAGCCAGGCCTGCCTGCTACACGATGGCGACGTTCTTTGGCCTGTCCGAGGGTTTCCTCTCGCACCCTACCTGGTTTCCTTTCCGTGTTTCCTGCTCGTTTCCCTACAACACCCTCTAGTTTCCTCGGGAAACCCCGGGGAAACTCCGTGGAATTCGTCATTTTGGGGGGGCTCTGAGCCGTGTCTGAGGCTGTTTTGGGGCCAAAATCGGCAAAATACCGGGTATTTTGCGGGTATACCTGGAAAACCCCGGTATACCTGGAAAATACCTGGGTATCGTGCCGATTTCCTCAATTTTGCCCCAGATTTTGCCCCAGACCAGCTGCAGACCAGCTCTCAGACTCAGGGAAACTCGCGCGCGAGTTTCCCGAGGGAAACTCGAGAGAAACAGAATGGAGCACCAAACACCCTCTGGTTTCCCTGGAAACTTCCGGAAACGCAAAGTGCTGGGGACCCTCTGGTTTCCCTCTGGGTTGCCGGAAACCCTCGGACAGGCCAAGACGTTCTCTCTCAGGGTTCTGTCTGCGTGCTATTGCTGCCTCCCGCTTGGAGTCGGCAGTAAAGCAAGTGGGTGGAAGCGGGGGCGACAGGGACGGCGGCGGCGGCATCAGGATCGGCGATGCCGAGGTGTGTGCCCATGTTTGTACGTGGGGGGCGTTGCACGCCGCGGATCAGGCCGGGCGGTGGGGAGGAATCGGAAGGCGACGGCGGCGGCAGGGACAGGGGCAGTGGCGGTGCCCAGGGATGGTGGCGACCGCCGCGAGCGGGATGCAGCCGGCGAGGCGAGGTGGCAGGTGGGCGCGACCGTTGCGCGCTGTTCACAGCCTTGTTATTGAGAAGAAAAATAGTTAGAGGCTGCGCAGGCCGTCCCGTTTGCTGTTTGAAACGCCTGTTGCGCTGGCCGCTGCGCGCGCGCGCTGGCCGCTGCCGGGGCTCTGTCTCACTCTCACGTGCCGCAATATGTGTCACACACGGCGGCTTCTGCCACCTCTCGATTGGTTCTACTTTCTACGCACACCTACCGGGGAAGGGGCGCTTGGGAGCCGGGGCGGGGGCGGGGGCGGGGGCGGGGGCGCGCAGCGCGGCGGCGCGGCGCGCGCAACAGAGGGTAGGGTGGGGAAGACGGCGAGGAGGGGGCGGCGGCGGCGGCGGCGGCGGCGGCGCGCGCGCGGCGCGCGCGACGGGGGGGCGGAGCAGCGACCGCTGGCGCGGCCGCTGCTCCGTCTGTGCCAGGGACGCGCGCTCTGCGCCGCTGCAGAGCGCGCGCGTCAGGGCAAGGGGCATGCGTGGCGGCGCGGGACGCGCGGCGGCGGCGGCGAGCAGCCTCCGTGAGCGGTGAGGCGGCCGGGCGAGGGCGCGGCGGGTGACGGGTCAAGGGAGCAGCCCACACCCGGCGTCGCTTTTTGAGCGACGCCTGTGGTACGCCTGCGCAGGGGCCGCAGGGTGGTCAGTTGTGGGGTGAGGCGGTGCCGGCCGCGGGCCGGGTGCAAGGCGCCGGCCTCGGCGCCGCCTCGGCGCGCCGCACGGGCCGCGGCGGGTGACGGGTCAAGGGAGCAGCCCACACCCGGCGTCGCTTTTTGAGCGACGCCTGTGGTACGCCTGCGCAGGGGCCGCAGGGTGGTCAGTTGTGGGGTGAGGCGGTGCCGGCCGCGGGCCGGGTGCAAGGCGCCGGCCTCGGCGCCGCCTCGGCGCGCCGCACGGGCGCGGCGAGCCTCTGAGCGGGAGCCGAAGGTTTGCCTGTGGGAGGTGGGAGGTGGCTGGTGGTGGGGGTGATTTGACTTTGCAGCAGAGGCCGTCCCTAGCTGTGAACAGCAAAACGGGACAGTATACCTCCTATGGCGCTGTGCGCTGGCCGGGGGGCCCCTGTGAGAGGTTGAGGTGCTCCCCATGAGCAGCAGCGCCCTGCCCGTCTTCACCGGCAGCAGCGCCCTGCCCGTCGCGTCGGGCCGTCGCCCCGCCGAGTGGGAGAACCCAGAGTGCTTCGGCATCGGCAGAGAGGAGGCGCGCGCGTCGCACTGCGCAGCGGAGAGCAGGGAGGCGGCGCTCGCCGGCAGAGCACAGAGCGGTCGATATCTCTCGCTCAACGGAAGGTGGCACTTCCGTTGGTCCGAGAGTGCGCCCGCCAACGGTGTGCCGTCGGGAGACTTCGCCGCGCCGACCTTTGACGACAGCGGCTGGGGCGAGATCGAGGTGCCCGGCAACTGGGAGCTGCAGGGCCACGGGTTTCCAATCTACACAAACGTGCAGTACCCGTTCGAGCACAACCCGCCCGCGATCGCGTACAAGGGCCGCGAGCCCGGCGCGCGCTACAACCCGTGCGGCGAGTACCGCACCGCCGTCGACATGCCTTGGGACCCCGCGGCCGGCCCAGTCTATCTCCACCTCGGCGCTGTCACATCGGCGGTGTACGTCTGGGTCAACGGGGCGGAGGTGGGCTACTCGCAGGACTCGAAGCTGCCCGTCGAGTTCGACATCACGCGCCACGTCTCGCGCGGCGAGAGCTGCCTCATCGCCCTATTTGTCCTCTGCTGGTGCGCGACACCTCCGAGACACCTCCGAGACACCTCCGAGACACCTCCGAGACACCTCCGAGACACCTCCGAGACACTTCCGAGGTGATGGGACGGCTAGGTGCGACGGTGCATACCTCGAGGACCAAGACATGTGGTGGCTCGCCGGCATCACGCGCGACGTCTACCTCTACTCGCGGCCGTCGCTGCACGTGCGCGACTTCGCTGTCCGCACACGCATCGACGCCGTCGGCGACGGCTTTGGCGCAGGCCTAGTCGAGGTGGAGCTGGAGCTGCTGCGCGCGCCGCCGCCAGCCTCGGCCGCCGCCGCGGGCGCAGAGGGCGGCGGCGGCGCGGGCTGCGGCGGCGCGGCGGCGAGCTGGGCAGAAGAAGAAACACTGCCGGCGGCGAGCGTCGAGCTGGAGCTGCTGCCGCGGCGGCGCGCAGCCGGAGCTACGCCCCGGCCATCTCCAGGGCACGTCCGTGACGCGTCCGAGACGTGTCCACAGGCGCGCGCAGCCGGAGCTGCACCCGGCGCACCAGGGCACAGACCTCGCCGCGCCGCCCGTCGCCGCCGCGAGGGTGAGCGCGCCGCTGTGCCGGGCGGGCGGCAAGGTCGGCGCTTTGGTGCACGCGGCGCTGCGGGTGCCGGCGGGGCAGGCTCTCCCGTGGAGCGCCGAGACGCCGTCGCTGTACACTCTGCTGCTGACGCTGCGCGACGCGGCCGGGTCCGTGGTGGAGGTGCTCGCGCAGCGGGTTGGCGAGCGATGCCTAGACGCGGAACACGGACCTCTGCACGTTCCGACTAGCATTCGAGAGGACGCGTGGTTCGACAGCCCTCTGTGGCGGTCGTCACTGCACTCGTAGCTGTCTCGTGTTCACGCGGCGCTGCCGTGTCCGCACCCTGACCTCGGCGTCTTGCTGGCGTAGGCTTGCGCACCGTCGAGGTGCGGGCGGGCCGGCTGCTCGTCAACGGGCGGCCGGTCACGCTGGCGGGGGTCAACCGGCACGAGATCTAGCCGAGATCCAGTCGAGATCTAGCCGAGCGTTTGGGGAGGAGGGGGGGGGGGGGGGGAAGGGGGAGGGGGGGGGGGAGGGTGCTGCGGACTGTGTTAGGCACGAGCACCACCCTGAGACGGGGCACGTGGTGTCGGACGAGTCGATGCTGCGCGACGTGCGGCTGATGAAGGACCTCAACTTCAACACGGTGCGCACCTCGCACTACCCGAACGCGGAGCGCTGGTACGAGCTGTGCGACGAGCTCGGCCTCTACGTCATCGACGAGGCAAACATCGAGTCGCACGGCATGGGGTTCGAGCCGAAGCACACGCTCGCGGCGCGGCCGGACTTCCGCGAGGCGCACGTCGAGCGCGTCCGCCGCGTGTGCGAGCGCGACAAGAACCACCCGAGCGTGATCGTCTGGTCGCTCGGCAATGAGGCCGGCAACGGGCCCGCCTTCCACGCGGCCTACGCGTACCTCAAGCGGCGCGACCCTTCGCGACCCGTGCAGTACGAGAACGCGCGCCTCGAGCCGGGCTGGTCGACGGAGCAGCTCGAGACGATCGACGTCGGCACGGACCTGTATGTGCCGATGTACCCCTCGCCCGCCAAGCTGGAGCTATACGCGCAGCGGCACGAGCTCGACCCGCGCGCGCTCCCGCTCGTGAGCCTAGAAGGGGAAGACGTGCTCTTGTCTTCCGACTGGCGCGACTCGAGAGGACACGTATTCAGCGGTACCCAGCCGTACTCGGCCGTATTCCGCTGTACTCACGCTAGTCGCCTGCCTCGTACTCACGCGCTACTCTGAAGACGCGGCACGCGAGTTGCGTTCCCGCGCTGAGGTTGGCGTATTCAGCACGTAGGCTCGTGATGTGCGAGTACTCACACGCGATGGGCAACTCGTGCGGCGGTCTGGCCGCGTACTGGGCCGTCATCCGCCGCCACGGCGTGCTGCAGGGCGGCTGCATCTGGGACTGGGTGGACCAGGGGCTAACGCTCGCGGGCGGCGTCTGCGGCGCTGAGCGCTTCGGCTACGGCGGCGACTTTGGCCCCGACGGCACGCCCTCGGACGAGGCGTTCTGCATCAACGGCCTCGTGCAGCCCGACCGGCGTCCAAACCCGCACGCGCACGAGGCAAAGTACTGCCAGCAGCCGATCGGCGTGGAGGGCGTCAGCGCCGGCCCGCTGCACGCCGCCGTGCGCGTGCACAACCGGCACGACTTCCTCCCCCTCTCTCCCGGCACCTTCTCGTCGGAGTGGCTCCTGCTCGAGGACGGCTGCCCGGTGCGCCGCGGCAGCCTGCTGCTGCCGACCTGCGCGCCGCAAGGCGCCCTCGCCCCGGGCGACGCGCCTGACCACCCAGCCCCTAGCCCCACCCTCTGAGACATGAACGCGAGGTCGAATTCTGGCACGTACGGCGGCAGCTCGGGCATCTGCCTCTGCCCCCTCGCCGCATCGACGAGCGCGCTCGTGTCAGCTCGCCGCTACTCCTGGTGGCTGGTGCCGCTGCTTGGCCGCCGCGCTCGCACTCGCTCCGCTCAATGACATCGTGAGGCTGCAACGGTCTGCGAGCTCCTTTCGCCCAGCGGGTCCACCACAGAGTTCTCCCTGTCATGTGCCCAAATGCGCCCGCCGTTTTTCGTCATACCCCCCCCTCGAAACCCGCCGACTTTGATTGGGTCCGGTTCAACCTCACTCTCATCTTTATACTTACAGACACAAAACGTCAGATCTTGCGCCACCCAGGGCTGGACCTAGTCAGGATGGGAGGCCCCTACCGTACGTATATCCAGCTCTAATCGCCCCCCCTCCCCTCCCCTTTTTTTGCAG